GGGTGGGGGACAGGTTATATATATCCCTAAACCTTCCCAGAAGAGTGTTGCCTCTCCGCCGAATCGCCAGTTAGTGGTACCTGCAAAGTACCGGCAGGAGATTCTGCGGATAGGGCATGATGTTCCGTTAGCTGGACATCTAGGATCCCGCCGCACAGCCTATAGGATCTCGCAGAATTTCTTTTGGTCAAACTTTAACCAGGCTGTGCGGATGTACTGCAGCACGTGTGACACATGTCAACGGGTAGGAAAGCGGGGGGACCACCCTAAGGCTAGGCTATTATCGATGCCTATTATAGGGGAGCCCTTTGCCCGCATAGCCGTTGACATCGTGGGTCCACTGACCAGGGCTAGTCCATCAGGGAAGAAATACGTTCTTACCGTGGTGGACTATGCCACCCGCTATCCAGAGGCAGTAGCGCTGTCTAACATAGAGGCAGAGACGGTTGTTGATGCCCTGGTTAGAATTTTTACTAGGGTCGGGTTCCCTAAGGAGATTCTCTCCGACCAGGGAACCCAATTCACCGCTGTGCTCACCCAGCAGCTGTGGAAGGTGTGTGGCATTAAGCCATTACTTAGCTCACCCTACCACCCACAGACTAACGGTCTCTGCGAGCGCTTTAACGGTACCCTCAAACAGATGCTGAGGACCTTTACAGACACTTGCAGAGACTGGGAGAGATTCCTGCCTCATCTATTATTTTCTTATAGAGAGGTGCCCCAGGAATCTACTGGGTTCTCCCCCTTTGAGCTGCTGTATGGGAGAAGGGTCCGCGGACCCCTAGATCTCATTAGAGGCCACTGGGAGGGGGAGACGGAGCAAGAGGGGACCCCCATTGTGCCATATGTTCTGGAACTCCGGGACCGCATGGAGAAACTGTCCCTGATGGTAAGGGAGAATCTCCAGGCGGCCCAGGGGAGACAGAAGAGATGGTACGATCAGGGTGCCCGACAGCGGGTCTTCCAGGTTGGGCAAAAGGTATTGGTGCTCAAACCTGTGAAGGCCAACAAGATGCAAGCATCTTGGCAGGGCCCGTACAAGGTAGTGGCGCAGATCTGCGACACTACTTACTTGATAGCCAGCTGTGCAGATGAGAGGATCCAGCGGTCCTTTCATGTGAACATGCTGAAAGAGTACCAGGAGAGACCTGAGAATATTGCAGCAGTATGTGCCCCAGCTGCAGATGATTCTGAGAACTTACCCCTTCCCGATCTATTAGAAAGGGATTCCCAGACTGACCTTACTACCTTTGTACTGCTAGGGGACCGGTTGAACCCCACAGAAAGGGTACAGGCGCAGCAGTTGTTATGGGAGAAGCAGGCGACGTTCTCCCAGGAACCAGGTTATACCACCCTAGCTGTGCATAAGGTAGAGACCCCTGGACAGGCCCCGTTACGACAGCCCCCTTATCGTATCCCTGAAGCAGTCCATGAAGGAATGCGGAAGGAGATACAGGAGATGACCCAGCTTGGAGTCATCAAGCACTCCGACAGCCCTTGGGCCTCGCCTGTAGTCCTGGTGCCCAAGAAAGATGGGACCACCCGGTTCTGTGTGGACTACAGGCGACTCAACGAGCGGACCACCACTGACGCCTACCCAATGCCCCGGGTAGACGAATTACTGGATCGTATTGCCAGGGGGCGATATCTGACCACCATAGACCTGTGTAAGGGCTACTGGCAGATCCCCCTGGCCGAGGATGCTATCCCCAAGTCGGCATTTGTCACCCCATTTGGCCTGTACCAATTTAAGGTCATGCCTTTTGGGATGAAAAATGCACCGGCTACCTTCCAACGGATGGTGGATAGACTCCTAGATGGCTTCCAAGAATTTGCCTGTGCATACTTGGACGACATTGCGATTTACAGTGGGTCCTGGGAGGAACACCTGGTACATGTAGGGGTAGTGCTGGATAAAATTCGGGCCGCTGGCCTGACATTGAAGCCAGAAAAGTGCCATCTAGGTATGGCTGAAGTACAGTACCTGGGTCACAGAGTGGGGTGCGGGAGTCAGAGACCAGAGCCAGCCAAGGTAGAGGCAGTGGCTAACTGGCCCACACCTACTACTAAGACCCAGGTATTGGCCTTCTTGGGGACGGCAGGGTACTATAGACGTTTTGTCCCTGACTACAGCGCTATTGCTAAGCCCCTGACAGACCTGACCAAGAAAAACTTGCCTAAGCAGGTCCTGTGGTCTCCGGCTTGTGAAGCTGTGTTCCAGGCACTGAAGCAGGCTCTTGTGAATGCCCCTGTCTTGGCAGCCCCAGTCCCTAACAAACGCTTTCTCGTCCATACAGATGCTTCCATGTATGGACTGGGGGCTGTGCTGAGCCAAGTCGGGGAAGATGGAGGAGAGCACCCTGTCGCATATCTCAGCAGAAAGTTGTTACCCAGAGAAGTGAGTTATGCTGCAGTGGAGAAGGAGTGTTTGGCCTTGGTCTGGGCATTGAAAAAGTTAAGCCCCTATTTGTATGGACAAGAATTTTCACTTGTGACTGATCACAACCCACTCGTTTGGCTTAACCGGGTCTCAGGAGACAATGGGAGACTGCTGAGATGGAGCTTGGCCCTACAGCCCTACAATTTTACCATCAGCTACAGACCAGGTAAGCTGAACGGGAATGCAGATGGGTTGTCACGACAAACAGACGCTTCCCTCACCTCGTAGTCCAGTCATCCCCAAGTTGACCCGCCACAGGGTCAAGCCGGGTCTGCCGGAGTGTCCCACAAGGAGGGAGCCGTGTGACAGAACCATCTGTCTGCTTGGATTTTTACTACGTTCGTCTGTTTGTCCCCCGTTCGTATGAATGGCTGGTTTATATGGCCCAGCCATTCGAATTACTCTTTTTCCCGAACAAACCTGCCGAACGAACGGCCACCCAAGTGAGGAGTGTGCTGCTGGTTAACGAAGTGATCCCAATTAGAATGTGTGGTTAACCGCAGACACTTCTCAATTAAACCGAATTCAGGGTGGTCGTCGTTCGTATGTCGACCACGAGGCAGTGGTCATTTTAAATCAAGCGAACGCGCAGCGGTGTTTGGCTCTATTTCTATGGAACTGAAAACGTACACTTTTTCTGCCGAACACCGCTGAAACAACGGAACGCCTGGCTGCCTCCACTAAAGCATGCGAACACCGGCCGTTCGGGAGATTGAGAACATACGAAAATACTTAACCCAGATAGCCTCCCCATGGAGTCATTCGTATACCGAAAGACTGTAAGAACTTTGACTCCATGGCGATTGAACTATGTGTGTGGGATCTGAGCGCTATTCGCTAATAATATGCACTCAGATCCAGGCTATCTGGGGACATGTAATACGAATGGGAAATGTTCAGTTTTTATGTAGTTATGTATTTTTATGTCTTTTATTATTTTATGTCTAAGATGGCGACTGGCTTTGTCCTGGAGTTAATTGAGTTACTTGGTAATTAACTTCAGGGCAGAGGGGAGGGAATCATAATGCACTGTGGGTAAAATCTGAGACTGTGTGTCTGGGATGTCCCCAGAACTGTCTGTAATTTAAGTCTCCCATTTGGTCCCCTAGGGGAGTGTCCACCAAGTGGGAGACCTGCATAAATACAGGCATAAATAGAGACTGCTGGATGGAACGAAAGCCGCTTGGTGAATATTGCTGTTCGACGGTTACCAGCAGTTCGTGTATTGCCGTTCGGGAGTTTGAAACCGTTCACGGATCTCGTTCGGGAGATTGCCGCTTCCCCTGCATTTGGTTTGTATATTACAGATTAAGCGAACGGAGACTGTACTGCAGCCGGGGAAGGTCTACTAAACGGCGGTTTGGCTTAAAGACACTAGAGGTGTCTTAACAAATGGGAAAATGGTAACACATTCATAGATGCAATTTTTTCTGTGGCAAGTACAAAAGAAGAGATAGAAGAAAATATTTCTATTTGGATTGATGTTGGTCTGGGACACAAGGGGGTGGTCACTAGAGTTGAGCGGACACCTGGATGTTCGGGTCCGAACCCAAACCCCATTGAAATCAATGGGGACCCGAACTTTTGGCCACAAAAATGCCTCTAAAAAAGTCCTGGAAAGGGCTAGAGGGCTGCAAAAGTAAGTAAAATGGGGGTAAGAGTAGGACAAGTGCCCTGCAAACAAATGTGGATAGGGAAATCACTTAAAATAACATACAAATTTAAAATACAGCTGAGCCATAAAATAGCACTAGATGGAATCTTTGATTTTAGCTTTGGAAGAACATAAATCAAAATCTAAAGCATGGCTGTCAGGAGGATTACTAAAATTATCCATTTGAGAGAGAGTTGGAGTGCAGGGTATTCTCTTTCATTGTTCAAACTGAGCTCAACTCCTGATGCATGGAGAAAAGGCGTTCACAAGCCTCTGCTATTGTGTACATAGTTTATACTAAGTGACCCATAGGTTGAGGAGGCGGTGACCGTGGTGGTGCAGGTGGAAGCAGCGGTGGAGGAGGAGGTAGCCATCACTGTTTTTTATATATATATATATATATATATTTTTTTTTTTTTTAATTGGGGTAGCCCCCAAAATATTGGGACATATAAAGAAAGACAACTCTGTTGCGCAGACCTGTGAGTGCTGCAGCTGAAACTCCACTATTGCCTGCTGCTGCTCGCACAGTCTCATGAGGTGGTTAGCGGGAAGGCTGAAGTTACGCTGCAGTGCAGACAGGCGATGAGGAGGAAGTGCGCAAGGAGGTGTAACGGCGCCTGGCATATTACCGAGAGCCACCCTCGGAGGAGATTGTCAGCAGGACCTTTTTGGAGGTGCAAGCCTATGTCCTTGCCAATAGACAGAGGGTGACCTCCATGAACCCAGTTGAAGGAAGAAGGGAACAGAGGGCGCCGGGAAGCACAACCACCCTGGCCCACAAGCTACCATACAATGCCTTCAAATAATTCAAGGAAGCAGAAGAAGGCATCAATAACTTTTTACAAGACCCGAGCAATACCGCCGAAAGTTTAGGGAGACCCGGAAAGGGGAGAAGGACTCCCATGCGGAGTGAGCATGCCGCATCACAAGGGCCACCCAGAACTGGCTCAACTCCCATCAAGCAAGGTTCCCGGAGGAGATCACCCAGCTCATCATGCTAGAGCACGTTTTCAATGGGCTCCCCAATGCGCCTACCATGGTGAGCATGGGTAACGGGGAATCAGGGTTTGATTCCTGAGAGGGAGCCTGAGAAATGGCTACTACATGCATGGAAGGCAGCAGGCGCGCAAATGACCCACTCCCGACGCGGGATGGTAGTGACGACAAATAACAATACAGGACTCTTTAAAGGCACTGTAATTGTAATGAGTCCACTTGAAATCCTTTAACTCTGATCAATTGGAGGGCAAGTCTGGTGCAGAGCGACTGACCCGTGTGTGCTGCAGCTGAAACTCCACTATCGCCTGCTGCTGCTCGCACAGTCTCTCCAGCATCTGCAAGGTGGAGTTCCACCTTGTGGGCACGTCGCCTATGAGGCAGTGAGCGGGAAGGCCAAAGTTATGCTGCAGCACAGACAGGCGAGCAGCAGCAGGGTGAGAACGCTGAAAGTGCGCACAGTTGCTACAGTGAATGTCACATCCTGTTTCAAGTTGCGGATCAGTCTGGTGATGGCTTCTGGTATCCAGTACTCTTTTTACTGAAGCTGCATCAGGGTCCTGGTATGTGGCCGCACAAACGCTGGTGCTCAACACTGGGGGGCGTGCGGTTACCCTGCACCAGACCCTGCTAATCCATTCCACACTGTGACTCCTAACTTCAACATCAGGCATACTGGGTCCCGGTCGTCCGACCGCCGCCCAGACAGTGTCTGGGTCCCGGTCACCGGACTACGAAACTGCGAATGGCTCGGAAAATCTGTTTTGTTTCCTTTTATTGCTCCATCTGTTACTTGGATAACTGTGGGAATTCTAAAGATAAATAATGCCGACGAGTGCTAGGGGACGGCCACTCCGCTTTTGCACCTTTTTACAACTGCGCTGTAACCGCACTATTTGACGCTTCTATTTGACTCTCAGATATGAAGAGCACCCACTAATGTACTTTTTAGCACCCCAAAAATTTCAAGTTTTAAAACTTCAATGCGACAGCAGTATTTGACGCTTCTATTTGACTCTCAGATATGAAGTGCACCCCACTAATGTACTATTTAGCAGATTAGCAGCAAAACAATTAGAATGTTTACAACTGCGCTGTAACCGCACTATTTGACGCTTCTATTTGTCTCTCAGATATGAAGTGCACCCCACTAATGTACTATTTAGCAGATTAGCACCTAGAAAATAAGAATATTTACAATTGCGCTGTAACCGCACTATTTGATGCTTCTATTTGACTCTCAGATATGAAGAGCACGCCCAGTATGTACTATTTAGCAGTTTAGCAGCAAAACAATTAGAATTTTTACAGCTGCGCTGTAAGCGCACTATTTGATGCTTCTATTTGACTCTCAGATATGAAGAGCATCCCACTAATGTACTTTTTGACACCCCAAAAAATGTAAGTTTTAAAACTGCAATGTGACAGCAGTATTTGACGCTTCTATTTGGCTCTCAGATATGAAGTGCACCCCATTAATGTACTATTTAGCAGTTTAGCAGCAAAACAATTAGAATTTTTACAGCTGCGCTGTAAGCGCACTATTTGATGCTTCTTTTTGACTCTCAGATATGAAGAGCACACTCAATATGTACTATTTAGCAGTTTAGCAGCAAAACAATTAGAATTTTTACAACTGTACTGTAAGTGCACTATTTGATGCTTCTATTTGACTCTCAGATATGAAGAGCATGCCCAAAATGTACTATTTAGCAGTTTAGCAGCAAAAGAATTAAAATGTTTACAATTGCGCTGTAACCGCACTATTTGACGCTTCTATTTAACTCTCAGATATGAAGAGCACGCCCAATATTTACTATTTAGCAGTTTAGAAGCAAAACAATTAGAACTTTTACAACTGCACTGTAAGCGCACTATTTGATGCTTCTATTTGACTCTCAGATATGAAGAGCATGCCCAAAATGTACTATTTAGCAGTTTAGCAGCAAAAGAATTAGAATGTTTACAATTGCGCTGTAACCGCACTATTTGACGCTTCTATTTGACTCTCAGATATGAAGAGCACGCCCACAATTTACTATTTAGCAGTAAAACAATTAGAATTTTTACAACTGCGCTGTAACTGTGATGGGATTTCAACATGGTTCAAAATTTAGTAGGCATGAAATTTCCATGTGGAATATACAAGTATAGGTGTTTGTTGTATCAGTTAGTTACATGTAGCTAAGATACTGTCATCAATGTACTGAGCATGTGCAGGAATGTAGGAACTGAAATCACACTCCTTTCTCCTTTGTTTCGGATGAGCCATGTGGTCTGACCGGATGAGCAAGTCCAGACTCTGTTCATTGATTGGTTAAGGGTATGTGTGGGTGTGGCTATTTATGGGAGGAGCTATATTGCTATATAAGGAATGTACTCCATGTGTTCTGGGCTTAGATCTGATGTGGAACATTAGTCGATCTGAGACCGATCGGTACGTGAATAAAGGCCTCTTACTTCCTGACTTGTGTCCATATCTCTATGTGTGGCTTCTGCGGTTTGTTCCTGTTATTCCTCCAGTAACATTTTTGGTGCAGAGATTTGAGACGGTAAACTTTTACCAACGTTCTCCACGGCAACACCCCTGAACGTCTGCGTGGACCTCCTTTCGTCTCGGCACCACTGGCCTTTTGTCCAGGAGATCACCAGCTCCTGCGCAGTGAGTACCGGGGTGCCCCGTCGATGAGTGTGAAGCCCAGGTCCAGGAACAAAGAGGTAAGATTAATACCATTAGAGCGGTAGGCCCATTGGAAGGAAGAAGCGAAGGCGCACCGCTTATGTTGACATTAAACGCTCTGTAGTCAGCCAGTCTAATACAGGTGGTTTGGGTCAGACTAAATCTTGGTGTAAATAGTTCATGTCGGACACCGGTGTCCTGTCTTGACAAGTGTATCTAGGTGTAAATTTTGGTCGCTAGGGGACCGGGAGACTAAGCAGATTCTGGTGTACATTCCGTCTGCTAGATCTGAACCTATCTTGGCTAAGTGGAAGGCGTGTAAATTCAACCACTAGACTATTGATAGAGTAAATAGACTAAATGAGTCTTGTTGTAAATTCCGCTCATTAGTTCGCTATATGTGGTGCTTGGGCAGCGTAGACTAACCAAATCCTGGTGTAAATAGTTTGATAGTTTGTTTCAAGGTGCTGGTCAGTTAGAATAGTTGGGATTATTGTTAAGATTGTTAGATATACTGTAGTTGGTGAACTGGTGATTTGGTTAAATTGTATGTCCTGCTAGAAAGCTTGAGCTCTGCTGTCTAATGGGAGTGTAAATTGTGTGTATAGTGTAAAATAGCGCACAATACCATAACCACTGACAGGTACCATATCCACTGACATGTACCATAACCACTGACTTGTACCATAACTACTGATATTACGTGAAAAATACTAAAATTACTGTTTAACCTTGCTTGTGTACTAACTGATATTGTAACTTTAAAACCATAATTGGCTAAACTGTACAATAGTTACTAACCATACCATAACCACTGACTGTAGAGACGAAATTGTTGAAATGTTATGTGATCGGTTCGTTTATGTGGATTAATAGGGTGGATAATTGTATGGTTTGAATACATCTTTGGTGGGTTTTTGATTTAATTTCGTGTGTGCGACATCGTGATATTGTTGAGCGTGTGAGGATCTTGTGCATGTGTGTACCTGTATGTTTGGGCCTAGTAACCGTGCCGCGTGGTGCTGTTGCTAAGGTAACTGGTGTGGCTGTTGAAACTGTTTGTATATTTGTACTGCTTTGAATCAGACGCTCTGTTGAAATCATGGGTGCTTCTGATTCACAAACAGTCCTTTGTCCTTTTTCTAAGGAATATGCTGTTTGTGATTATGGTGTAACACTGTCCCCCAAAAGATTAAAATACTCTGGGTAGCAGAGGATGGCCTGTTCTGGTAACCAGTGTTCCTGTGGATCCTTGATCCAGATTTAATACAGCAGGTTTACATTGTTATAAATAATAAGCTGGGGCTATATGAGTAGTTTCTGTATACAGATTGTTGAAACACTGCTAAATGGAACAAGCTGTGTTAAGGGGAACAATGGAGTCCATGGTAGCCAGAACCTTTTTCTCCACTAAGGCCTTAGTTCCACCTATTTTGGACACCTCCCCCTCCCCTTGCATCTGATTGCCAACCCCCTTATTCATCCGCCAGAGCCAGAGTAGCCATTCCCCCACTCTTCCTCCCAAGCTAAAACTGGTGTAACTGGTATTTGCACTCCCCCTGCTCTATTGTCCCTGCCTACCCACATACCTGTTCTTTTGTTTCAAACTCTTGTATTTCTGAACAAACCCCCCACTGGTTCTTTGTAATTTGAACTGACTTCCTCTTTGGTAGGAGTGTATTTTAGCATTGAATTTTATTAACAGTTAAATTGTGATGATAATTCTTAATAACAGTAACTGAGTCTATTCGATCAGATAATTCTCAGCAATGACATTGTACCATAATCATTGAAATAGCACTAAAACTACTGAACACTGTGTGCATTCAGTGACAGTCTAAAATACAACAGGAAGAAATGATCAATGGTATAAGATGCTAGAGTACACTTTTATCCTTTTTTAGTTACTGGATGGGCCCGTCCCAGCTTTGATCAAAATATCCCCTTTACTAAAATACAAACTGAGATGTTTAATTTACCATAGAACTAAAGCTTTACTCAAGCCTAGATATCAGGGTGAACAGTGATTAAAATAAGTAATAATAAAATAAGCACATAATTAAAGTCTATCTGCTTCATTGGCCATTTTCGGGAGTTACATTGATATTACATTGTTTAATCATTAACTCTATACTGGCATATAACAGACAGAAGTAGGATTGCTTACCCTATTTTAACCCCTTAAGGACACATGACGGAAATATTCTATCATGATTCCCTTTAATTCCAGAAGTTGTGTCATTAAGGGGTTAATATATTTATTGTTATAAGGTTTTATTTTATGTATAATTATATTAAAAGTTAAGTTTTATTATTAGACCCATAAAGATTATTTTGATACAATTACTTACCCTCTGGTGACACCTACTGGTAGGTTTTTGGTTTAACACTTTTTAAAAAAAAATTTCATCCGCCAAATGCTGACTAGTAAAATTAGCTCACCCTCTTCCACCTAACTTACTACTCTAAGACTGGAACCTATTACTGAGCAGCCTTGCCGAAGCCCCATGCTAACCCGACAATTGACTGGCACCCTTCCATCCCGACATTGCCAGATGCCTCTCCGACTTACACCGGGCCCAACACACGTTGATGAAAATGGCCAAATACAACGGGCAGATCCAGTGGTTGTCTATGTCCCCTTCACCACAACTGATCTATTCAATTGGAAGACTCATAACTCTTCGTATACTGACAAACCTCAAGTCATGACAGATTTGGTTACCTCTATTATACAAACACAATCCCACCTGGGCTGATTGTCAGCAATTATTACTGACCTTTGGAATGTAAATGGCGCTGACATGATCCATCTAAAGGCCTAAGAACAAGCCATTATTGCTGGCATGAAGGCAGGAGGGAAAAAGGCAATTAACATGTCCAGGACGGATGAAGTGTTACAAGAAGCTAATGAATCACCCAGTGATTTTTATGAGAGACTGCTTGAGTCAAATAGATTGTACACTCCTGAAGCCCCTGAAAACTTCCAAATGATTAACTCAGCATTTGTCAGCCAGGCCCAGAGCGAGATTAAGAGAAAGCTACAGAAATTGGAGGGATTTGCAGGGATGTCCATGTCACAGCTAGTGGAGGTTGCAAATAAGGTGTATATGAATAGCGAAACTGAGACAAAGCGTGAGGAGGAACGTAAAAGGAGGACGAAGGCAGATATGCTAGCGGTAGCTAGCACAAGTGTAGAAAGACAGGGAAGGGAAGTGAATAAAGGAGTCGAGAATAGGCTGAGTAAGGGACCTTTAAGTAGGAATCAAAGTGCATGTTATAGAGAGGAAGGGCATTAGAAGAATTACTGTCCACAGAGGGGATATATTGCAGGTGGTAGACAAGAAGAGAGAAGAGGGCGAGGTGGTTATGGTAGTAGCTATAGAGGATGAGGTAGACGAAGTTTTGGAGGGAATAATGGGAATAGAAGAGGGGGATATTATCCCCCTACCCAGAGACCTAGGGATAGGGAAGATAGAGATTTTTGTATGTCTGGCTGACACTGTCATGGAAGACTATTGATACCGACTGGGCTCCATCCCCCTTGGCTGAGCGGAGCCTATGGTCGATGTAACAATAGGGGGAAAAGAGAAGTCCTTTCATGATTGATATAGGTGCTGAACATTTTGTGGTGACTAAGTTGGTAGCTCCTCCTTCTGGAAAGACTGTAACTGTAATAGGAGCTACTGGGAGAAGCGCTGCTAGACCGGTTCTCAGGAGTCGCACTTGCATTTTAGGAGGCCATTTTGTGAAGCACCAGTTCCTATATATGCCAGAGTGTCCAATTCAATTTCTAGGACGAGATCTATTATCAAAGCTTCAAGCTCAGATAACTTTTCTACCTAATGGATCAACGTCTCTGAAGTTTAATAAATCATCAGGCATGATAGCAGTATTGGTACCAAAAGAAGAAGAATGGAGCTTCTACTCTGTAATAACAAATGCAAACCCTAAGAGTGATGGATCTTTATTTGACATTCCAGGAGTATGGGCAGAGAATAATCCTCCAGGACTTGCTCGTAATATCCCACCAATACATATTGAGTTAAAGCTTGGGGTGTGTGACGGTAGTCACCATCACTGGGGATGGAGAACAGACACCAGTTTAAACTAGCTGTTCTGTCCCTCCTCAATCTCACATCAGCCCTTGCTATTGTCTGACCCCACCCTTCCTTGTACTATAGTAATCTATGTAACCTATTGTATGTAAATGAGGCTGTTGGGGGCTTAAAACTATGTGTGTTGTATTCATTAAAGAGTTGCTGTTTAACCTTCACCATGTGTCGTCTGGTGTTTGGTCCAGGGTGGAAAAGGCCCTAAGTGATCCCAGTCAAGCCTCAGCGTCTGGGTCTGAAGTGTTTCAGGGTCCCTGATAGCTACAAGGAAGCAGACTTGGCGGAGGTACTCGGTTGGAGTACTGGAGCTCCGTTACATTGGTTGGCAGTGGTGGGATGGCTTCCTAGCAGCTGGAGAAACGTCCCTGGACACCGGCGCATGTACTAGGATCCCACTGTGCTTTCTGGAATTCATGGAAATGGATAGAGCTAGCACCCGTGCAGCATCCCCATCTGAGGAGGAGTTACAGTGGAGGCTAAAAGCAGCTCTGTCCCAGTACGATGCCCCTTTCTTAACAAAGGGTGAACTGGACCGGCGGGACTCAATCCATCAGGATCGCTGGAACAATGTTCTTGAGGAGGTTTTTTGTCTCTGGGGAGAATCCCTCCCAACCATTATGCAATGATTTTGGGATCAAGTTGATTTGCAGATGCAATTCTTGGGAGAGCAGCCCCTGGCGGAATGGGTATTTAAATTAGAGGAGCTGGTACAGAACGAATTGTGGCTGGATGATTCTTACCGGGTCTTAAGGTGGTATGTAGTCCAGCAGTACCCATTTTTAGCAGATGATGACCCTCCAGAGGGTGAGGACTATGATGGCCCTGGCCTATTGTGTGAGGCCTTTGAGGATAAAATTGAATTGGGAAGTCCTGAGAGGTCCCGGCTTTATGACATTAGGGAAAATAGAGAACACCTACTGGATCTCTCAGAAGCAACTGACCTGGAACCTGATTTGACTCACCTGGCCACCATGGAGTGGGAGCTTGAACTGGATTACAAGCAATTGTTTGACTCTGCACAGCAGCAGGTACCAGAGATTGGGGATTTAATAGACCTTACATCTGAATATGTTGGTCAGGTAGATGTGGAAGGAACCGTATTCTCCACACCTGAATCACGGGGAAACTGGACAGCCATCCCAGATCTCCCAACTCCTGGCATGGAAACTCGTGCAGCAGAGGTAGAGGTTGTCTGTCTCCCCCTTCAGCAGCAGATTGAGTTACATGGAATAGAGGTAGTCGATCTCCCTCCCCAGCTGAAGTTTGCGTTACAGGGAGAGGAGGCAGTTGGTCTTTTTCCCCAGTGGCAAAGTGTAAGCCCAGCAGAAGAGCTGGCATCAGGACAGAGGACTACTGGCCCCTGGCCCCAACTTGCAGCAACGCTGGAAGTCGAGAGCAGGGAGGACAGCCTTTCGGTGATGGTGGAACTTGAGGAGTACACCACCACTCCAGCTGAAGTGCTGGCATTGAGTCAGAGCGCTGCTGGCCTCTGTGCCCAACTTGCAATGACGCTGGAGTTGAAGAGCAGGGAGATCAACCTTCTAGTGAAGGTGGAGTTCAAGGAGTGCGCAACTCCCCCAGCTGAAGCGCTGTCATCGGGGCAGAGCTCCACTTGCCTCTGCCCAAACCCACCGGTAACCTGCAAGCCTATGGCATCAGACACTGCTGGTCCCACGGAACAGTGGATCCCAGAGCAAAGCATGGCTAACCTCAGCCCTTTGCCACAAGCACTGGGGAATCTCTACCCAATACAAATGGATGGGACTCTGGTCTCTACCTGTAGTCCCCAATGAGCTCCGATCCCCAACCCCATGTCAGAGGGGGCCCAGCCACCCTGCCTTCCCTCCAGCGGCTGAGAGAGATCCGGGGAGACTGGACAGTGGGCACGCATCGCCAGGTATATGCATTAGTAGATGCAGAGGCCGGCTGGGTAAGTGCTGCTATTCCATGGGCAATTTGTTTAGGGTACCATTTCGGTGATGGCCTTGATGATCTGGATGTAGTCACTAACTTCAGAGTCAACTTGTCTGGGGTCTCCTGTATTGGTCTCCTTCTGAGGGGGAGGAAATAGGCTTGAAACTATTCTGAGCTGGAGATACAGGGTTCCAGAATTGCTATTGGGGTCTTTTGGGGTCACAGTGGCCCCCCCATATGGGGATAGGTTTGAGTTTGGGAAGGGGGCCATGGCAGATTCACTGGGAACTCCCTTTCTCCACTTCCAAGTCCCCTCTTATATCTAAGTCACCCTGTGCTTATTAGAGGCACAGGGTGACCGAGAAGCCCAGTCTGGCCTGCCCAAACTAGACTTCCACAGACTGATAGGCTATGAGGGCTCCATCCTCCCGATCGGGACAAACTTACAAACTATGTGGAACTTTGTCGAGAAGGCTGCCAGGATGGATGGACTTTTTGGGACTTATTACCAGACTAACTCAGACACAGACCAATTGGAGGTCTGGTACCTGGTTAGTCTACCTTTGGGGGAGAAGATATGTGACGGTAGTCATCATCACTGGGGATGGAGAACAGACACTATGGGTGAGCTCCCAAATTCCTTTTGTGTTTTGTCACAGTGTGCCTATTATTTGTGCAGGGTATGTTGAATGTATTGCTGGTCTGTGCATCACCCCCTCCCCCCTTTTTCCTATCTTATTGTTTCCCCAGCAGGGCGTTGCCAGACCAGTTTAAACTAGCTGTTCTGTCCATCCTCAATCTCACATCAGCCCTTGCTATTGTCTGACCCCAACCTTCCTTGTACTATAGTAATCTATGTAACCTATTGTATGTAAATGAGGCTGTTGGGGGCTTAAAACGATGTGTGTTGTATGCATTAAAGAGTTGCTGTTTAACCTTCACCATGTGTCGTCTGGTCCAGGGTGGAAAAGGCCCTAAGTGATCCCAGTCAAGCCTCAGCATCTGGGTCTGAAGTGTTCCAGGGTCCCTGATAGCTACAAGGAGGCAGACTTGGCGGCGGTACTCGGTTGGAGTACTGGAGCTCCGTTACAGGGTGTATCCTGTTAGCCTTCCCCAACAGCTGTAAAGGTGGCAGAAGTGACTCTGTTGATTCATCACTCTAGGGTTAAACCAGCGGCAGATTCCTGGCAAGCTACTCCAGATCGTGAGAATCCTTGCAAGATCCGGTTGAAGTGCATCACCCAGCCGAATTGAGCGTGACTTGAGAAGTATGAGGTGATTTTTGAAGAATCGTGGTTGAAAGTTGCAGAGATCAACAAGTAGGTGTTTTGACGGCCATAATAAAGCCTGACCACCTGCTTACGTTTCATAGTCAGAGTATCTCGAAGGGACCTCTGTGAAGGTAAGTGAGGATAAGAAGTACTACAATCCTTGCAGCCCTCACAAGCGGGAAGCTGAGGTGTCGTCGCACGGTCGAAGAATTAAGATGAGGATCACAAGAATAATGTGTTTAATTATGTGCTTTAGTATTTTTATGATTTTCCAGGAGGGTAAAGGTGAGGATATTCAAAGCTGTGTTAGTTGTATTAAGACTATGAAAACAGGTAACCAAATATCCCAAATTCTCATTTGGCACTCACAGTATGAGTGTAGGGGATCTGTATCTAAGTATAGATATTTAGATATAGATT